AAAACTACAAAATATGTCATTGACAATAAAGAATCACCTTATATATTTAAAAAAACAATTAATCTGCTTAAAGGAACTTTTTAAAAATGAAGAAGACTGTGATAAAATCTTGCTTTACATTAAATCTGAACCACATGTTGAGTTTTGCGATGAGGAGGTAAATAAATGGATGTTACATATATGTATTATCTACAATTATTATTTATATTAAGTTTATTTATTATGATTTTTTTTTATTTGAAATAGGAAAATGTACCATTTATTAAAGAAATTTTAGAGAAGGTTAAAACGAATTGGAATGACAACATTCAGAATATGATTAAAGAAATAGAGAGTAGGGTTGAATCAACAGAAAAATAGATTATTTATTCTACATGTATAATCATTTGTAAAGTTGCGTCGTTTCTGTTCTAGTTGAGATTCACTTTTTTGTTTATAGTTTTATTTAGGTAAATGTATTAATTTATATATTTGTGGCATAAATTATACCTATTCTAGCATTAGCTTTTTTGGTATATATCGTTTATAATAAACATGAACAATTTTATATAATAAACGTGGGCAGTTAACTATAAAATATTTATTGAACTTTTGTATGAAATTTTTGCTTTAAAATGTTTAATATAAAGGTAACTACGTACGTACAGTATGTACTGTACATACCTACATATCTGTTATGTACCTTATATTTTAGAACCTTAAATTAGAACTTGATTTTACTTTTTGTATGTTGAACCCAATTTTATGAAAATAAAAGAGGTTCCGAAATCTACCTTAAATTTGAAATTTTTGTAATGGACGTTCCAAATATTCACAAAATTGCGAATACCTTCCATTGCCACAGGATTTAGCTTGTTCTCAAGCAGCTCCCTCAATGTGATTTGCTAGTAATCGAGATGCTGCTTAATCATTTCGATTAATCAAAATTAATTGAAGAGATCCTTATAACGTAGAAATGGGTTTCTCCGAAAATCCCGCGTGGTACACATCCCGCGCGGGATAGGATCACAAATCTGCGGGTTTCTTAATTTTGTGTCTAATAAAAAACCATGCAGAAATTTAATTTTCTTGTTCTACTGTAAATTTTCGAAATAGCGACATGAGC